TTCCGCATAATGTTCCTACAAAAAATAAGAGAAAAAGAAAATGAATACCTCCACAACGCAACTAAAAAGTACAAAAAGCGCCGATGTTGTCACAAGTTGCCATAGGTGAACTGTAAGTTCAACTCACTTTTGAGCTGAAGCCAGCGTAGAAAAATGTGTAGAAAAACTAAAGACAATCTTGTTGTCTAGTGTATACGGTCTCCGGACACGAAAAAGTAACAGATGACATTTAAGTAATCTAAGCCTGCTACGACACATTGAGATGAAATCAGCTAAGCTTTACTTCAGTGTCCAGTCGAACCTTCCATAACAGACACCTCCTCCGAGAATACACTTAGTCATGGTCCCACCCAATTTCTTCGTTTGCTTGTTTTTTAACCCTGTCGTCCAGCGACGGTCTGTTCCTCGGATTAAAAACCAACCAGTCAACTGAAATACGGTGGATCCAAAAATCATTGCGTACACATAAAATCGTGACGCAATTTCTACGTCACATTCCGTCATATGAAGTCAATACGTCATGGGAACATACTTAGCTAAGACATTGTCTGATGAGATAAAACGCTGTAAATTTCTCCGCTTTCCCCTTGATTTAATAACCTTAAAATTATTAAGGAGATGCAATTCACTCCCCGGTCACGCGAAGGTGTGTTGGCCAGGGGTAGGGCAATATTGTAAATCATCAATTTTCTCTTAAGCTTTTACTGAACATACAGCCCACCTGGGCTGCTTTTGATTTTGATGAGCTTTTTAAAACTAGACTATCCGGTATAAAAATGAACTTTTATATCCTGAATATATCATTACATTTTAGCCCGCCAAACTCTCCATTTTTGCCCGCAAAACGCGCCACAGTGCCCGACAGCACTATCATCATGGTCCGGTTTTCATAACTACTTATTAACCGAGAGTGAGGTCGTTACCGGAAAATCTCAAACTGAGGCCTTGCCGTATTGACCGAGCTATAGCGAGGTCAATACGACAAGGCCGAGGTTTGAGCTGAGATTTCCCGTAACAACCGAACGTTCAAGGTTAATAAGTTGTTTATTATAATAATGGCTAAAAACAGGGTTTTTCAAGAGGAAGTCATCACTTTACATCCGTTAATGCGCGCGCGTGACCGTTCATTCATCGCCAAGCCAAGGGTCGAACTGCGCTCGTGTGTGGTGATTCACTGAACAAACGCACATTTCGTGAAGAAAACATAGCTGATTTATTTTCGGGACAAATGATTACAATACAGCTATAAAAATGTTTTTTTATAGTTGTGTTACAACTTGGCAAGGAAAAATTCATTGACATTCTCAAAGATCAACATCCAAACTTCAATCAACGTGCTTCAAACGGCGTCTTGGTAAGCTTAAATGAAAATACATGCAGCGGATGCATCGCGTGTAAAATATTCATTTCAATCCTCTTCGTCGGTTTGAATGACATGAAATCTTCGCCTTTTGTAGACGAAATTCACTGGGCCGTTGAATATTAGAAATTGGCAACCAGAAATTTTACTGATGTTTGCGCCGACAAAAACCGCTCAGCTGTTTAAATCTGATGCTCCTCGAAGCTGATTTAAACTTGCTTGTGTTAAAGAGAGGGAATTTGTTGATGTTTTATGCTCTACTGCCTCTGTTGTTAACAGTCCCCAGTTGGATGTTGGATTTTCCGGCAAATGGTGTGAACCCGAGAAATCTGAATTTGGTTGCTTCATTTCCACTGGTCGGTGATCCCGGAAAAACTTGTTAAGTTTTATGGGACACCTTTCAGTTCCTGTCGCGTAAATCTTTGGCTGGAATGCTCGCTTGTGGCCATTTTCTCGCCCCTTTTGCGTCTTCGTCTCACGTTCATTAATCCAAACAAGCATTTCGCGGCCATCTTGGAGAGGATGTTGTTGTAGTTCCACGTCTCCCCAAAGCAACTTGCGGCTTTCATCTTTGGCCCTAAAGCCGAAATGTTAGGGCAAAAACCACCACATGGTTCGCTGGAGGGCTACAGGACAGGAAATACCAAACTGGCCACTTTTAAAGAGTTTGTCTTCTTCTTCTTCATCTGTCACCGCGCGGGTGGCGTTTGGCCTGTTCCCCTTGCCGGCTCCTCTGGACTAAACCTTTCCTCTTAGCTGCTAGAACTTAACTTTACGAGTCATCTCAAATTCCTTATCAACAAGAATGTTGAACGGAGATATGCCATCGGAAAGGAACCTCTGAATGCTCAGTTGTAAACCAGAGAGCGTATCAGGTTCGTAATCGTCGGCATTAATTTGGGCACATTTTTGAAAAACTTCGCCAATAAGTGATCAAGGTCACCAGCAGGTAAACGTTTCCCTTGTTTACTGAAGATAAATAACGCCGAAATGCTTTCATCTCACTGAAAGTTTTCCCGGTCGTGTTTTCACTTGTTTGCTCTTTTACGAAACTCTCAATTTCTTCTTGGATGTTTTCGTAAACTTGTTCGTAACCAGAGAACGCTGTGGCTTCACTGTCTTCCTTATGAGAATCAAGCTCGTCAGGGTAATAGAACTCGCTATCCGAGTGTTCATCCTCACTCATTGTATTATGTTGCAACATTAACTTAAGAAATTAAACAAATGCATCCTTTGGATGAACTTCGGTGTTTCTTTTGCTAATTTGCATAATCTGTAATGGCCCGTGGGCATTAAACGAGAAAAAAAGCCCTAGCAGCTAGCCAATCAGAGTGCGCGTTTTATCGGCTACAAGCACCACAAAGATGTATAACGCACTCTTAGCCGATAAGCTGAATTGAGGAAATGATGTTGAAATCCGTTAAGCTACGTTGTCAATCTTCATTGGAAATAGAAATCCTTTTAATGATCTTCCGCATAATGTTCCTACAAACAATAAGACAAAAAGGAAATGAATACCTCCACAATGCAACTAAAAAGTACAAAAAGCGCCGATGTTGTCACAAGTTGCCATAGGTGAACTGTAAGTTCAACTCACTTTTGAGCTGAAGCCAGCGTAGAAAGATGTGTAGAAAAACTACAGACAATCTTGTTGTCTAGTGCATACGGTCTCCGGACACGAAAAAGTAACAAATGACATTTAAGTAATCTAAGCCTGCTACGACACATTGAGATGAAGTCAGCTAAGCTTTACTTCAGTGTCCAGTCGAACCTTCCATAACGGACACCTCCTCCGAGAATACACTTAGTCATGGTCCAAGCCACAATGCATTTTCAACCTCCCTTTAAAATGTGGGCAATTTTCTGACCCTAAGTGTGTGTACGTAGGACAGGTTGGAGTATACATGTGTATATTTTTTTGTTTCTTCGTTTGCTTTTTTTTTAACCCTGTCGTCCAGCGAAGGTCTGTTCCTCGGATTAAAAACCAACCAGTCAACTGAAATTCCAAAATGGTGGATCCAAAAATCATTGCGTATACATAAAATCGTGACGCAATTTCTACGTCACATACGTCATATGAGGTCAATACGTCATGGGAACATACTTAGCTAAGACATTGTCTGATGAGATAAAACGCTGTAAATTTCTCCGCTTTCCCCTTGATTTAATAACCTTAAAATTATTAAGGAGATGCAATTCACTCCCCGATCACGCGGAGGTGTGTTGGCCAGGGGTAGGGCAATATGGTAAATCATCAATTTTCTCTTAAGCTTTTACTGAACATACAGCCCACCTGGGCTGCTTTTGATTTTGATGAGCTTTTTAAAACTAGACTATCCGGTATAAAAATGAACTTTTATATCCTGAATATATCATTTAATAGTAAGAAAAGAGACCGCTCAATTTCGACAACAAGTTACGTATCCCAAGTTACCTAATTTCCTCAAGCTTGTCCTCGATTGATTCCCATGACGATCTATCCTCGCTGTTCTCTAATAGATCTACACACGAAAAAAACAATTCCAAAACGAAAAAGATTAAGATCTTTAGGATTCAGCCTATCCATCGCAATGCCCGGAGACATGATGACTCCAACTTTAACGAGCAAATGTTTTAAAGTTTCATTAGTTAAGTACCTTGCGCTAAAGTCATCTCGTCTATAACTTCACATTCCTGGTAATGCCTAAGACGTAAATTCTAAAATAGAAAAACGAAAAAAAAAAAAAACAATTCACAATGCAACTAGCATCACAGCTGACACTCGTTTAATTATAGCCAAATCCTTTGAACCATTCGCCCCTGAATCCAGGCGGCCTATAACCGCCCCGTGCGGATCCACGTCTGTTGTATCGCTTAAGACGTTGCCCGTTTTAACGGACAAGGACAACTTTGTCACCTTTCTTGTGCAGGAGGAAGAGATCTTTAAAACCATGCCAGAATGAACACAATTCAGCCAAGAAGACCGGCGAAAAAGACAAAAAACAATACAAAGTTGACACGAAAGTTCTGATGAAAATCTACTTTCATTCCCCATCCACATTTCCTTCCATCCATTTCTTCCTTCCTAAACGCTTTCCCGAAATCATTTCCCACCGTAGCCGAGTAAATGCCCAACAAAAGAACAAAAAAAAAGACAAAAGAAGAGGGGAGGAGAGGAAGCAAAAGAAACAGTCGAGACCGCTGTGTCACTATTCAACCCAAAATCTGCGCATGCCCTAACTTTGGAAGCAGGTATTTTGCATCTGGAGCAAACGGCCACTAAGTGCAAGACCTGCAAACAGGTATTTGGTAAGGTTTAGTTCTTATAGCCAGACAGTGATCAGAAAAGGGCACGACTAGTCTAGTTTCGGCAAAATTGATAGGGGCGAATGAGTTGAAAATTTTTCCAGCTAAAAAGAGAAAGAATCAAACAATTAACACAAACAGACTAACACTAAATCAACATGCACTAAATTACGCTGCCTATCGAAATACCACAGGATAAGACATCTAAGACGCTTATTAATAAATGTTAAAACTCACTATACAAGTAAATTCATCTAAAATGTGTAACTTTATTCGAGGAATATTCATATACACCTCGGATATACAGTAGAGCTCTAGCCTATTCCAAGAGAGAAGACATGAAGATAGGGCAAGAGGTTTTGTAGAAAAAGAAAGAAAAACTTACAAATCGACGGAACCTGCTATGCTCAAGTCGTGTTATAATCAGCATTCTGTCCACATCATATTGGAGTTTGGCTGTTTTCTTGGCTTTGGTGTACGTACTGCTCATCTGAGCGATCAGAATATTAAGAAGTATAACCACTACTGCTGTCATGTAAATTAGTAGCACAACCACAGGAAACCAACTTGAAGTAATAAAAAAAGACAAGAGAAAGATTTACCATCATCCTTACAGCAAATGAAAAACTTCAGATTCAACTTGACAAAAATGAGAACAAAAAACACAATCATACTAATGAAAAAAAATGCCTAAAACTCACTAAGAAGTTCTTAACTCATGCAAAAATATCCCTGATGCTTATTAAATATTTTCGCTGCCTGAGTTGAATATTCAAAGACCTGAAGAACGTCTTTTTAAGATTTTTCAAGAAAAAGACAGCTGTTCTCGTCTACTTATAAAAATCTTATAAAAAGCTCGTTTAGCGAATCCCTAACCACACCTTACTTGTATCTTGAGTAATCATCAGCTGCTGGCTGTTGTTCCACCAGAGCTCGGACGCCACTCAACATAATTTTATCAAACCCTCTGAGAAAAGGAGAAAAATATTGTTAACTCAATATAAACTTTCCACAGCTAGGAATAATGACATTCCAGCTCTATGCGACCTTCTGGGAGCCAATCAGTAGATTGGAGAATGTTAATGGTGCATAACGCGCGATTTTCATGCATTTATATATTTCTAACTTTGCTTGTTGTTTGCCCGTACAGCGTTTTCCCAGTCCCTATCGGTCAATTCATTTCAGTGACGTATCCGAGGTGAACGGGCGGGAAACGCCTCACATTTTCGCTTGGACCACGTGACACCAAACGCTTTGGCCGCGCGGAATAATGATGCCTAAGGACTAGGCAAGCTTGTTGTATCATCTTTTTTTTGAAAGCACAGTATGATTTACTTACGCCTCTATTTCGAACATACTTGTGAAAATTTGTGTTCAATTTTTGGCCAGCGCTCTCGTTGTTTTTCTCTCACTTTAGACGCTTGTGTGCATCCTTGTGGACGCTTATTCAGTTTCGAAAACGGAGAAAATATATCCGTTTCCAAAACTATCCGGTAAGAGTGGACGGAGCCTTAAACAAACTTTTATTGCCTTAAAGGAAACTGGCAATACCCAAACACACACAAAAATAAAAAATTTACCCGAAAACTTGCACTGCATTGGTTGCTCGCAATGACAAGAAGAATGCCCCACAAAATGCCAGAAAAATGACCAGAAATACACCAGTAAAACGCGCAATGTCATAGTAAACAATCTTGGCTAATGTCTTGGTATAAAGTCCAGTTGTCCTTCAAAAAAAAGCAGCAACAAAAACAGTCATCATAATCATCATATGGCAAAACAAAATACAAGAGTCTAACTACAACTACAGATGGGCTGATCAATGCAAAAGTCTCTCTGGAAAAATCAATATCATTTTCAATGCAACAAAACAACAGCTGTTTCAAAAAATAGTAGGGAGCTTAATCAAGAACGACGACGACGGCTATGAAAACGTCACTTAAAAAGTGAAGTCGGTCGCGCTGCTTCAAAATTTTTCGCGCTTATTGCATCTCGTTCAATTCGTCATATTTTGGCAATTTTCTCTCGAGTTTAATTCTAAAAGACTGTATCGAAGTTCAGAAAAAGAAAAAAAAAAGAAATTCGTCGTCTTATGTTCACGTCCTCAACAAAACGTGAAATTAGGAAGTTTCACGTCGTAAACGTGCAGTGACGGCGAAGAAATGTACAAAAGCGTGATGCATGTGCAGAGTGGTTGTTTTCCCAGTCTTAACCTATTGATTTTGACCGTTCTCGTTGACGTCGCCGTCGTCGTTGCTTGCCGGAGCCACGAAGCTCTCAGAAACTTCTTTCTCTTTCTTTTTTTTGGCGGGGGGAGGGCAGAGGTCATTTTCGGTTTCCAATTAAACAACTCGTTCTGACAACTTCATAATTCGGGCCCCGACAATACAATCCCCATCCCCACTGTAACTAATTATAAGACCTGCATGGTGTAAATCAGGAAAAGGAAAACGCAAGGAAATATCTGTTTGCAATTTCCCAAGCAAGGTAATAAGGTCAACTCTTACAGCTGTCGATACGCATTGAATCAGAAAGTAGCCATGTTCATTTCCACATCAGTGACTTTATGTGTGAGTTTATTTAGCTGTTTGTTGGAAAATAGTTCATTTTGAAAGTAAACGTCTAAAAACCATTTTGAGTAAATCAAAGGAGTTTCAACATTTTCGTCAATAAAAACAAAACAAAAACTTGGATTGCTCCGTATATTTGAAATGAAACCATGGTCTTGCCTGATGAAAAAGTGGCATACAGTGCAGTTCCTAAACTGATAACGGAATTACCAAACCGAAATAATAATAATTTTTATTTGCCCTGCAACAAATGATTTATATGAAAGAAAACGATCAATGATAAAAAAAAAATATTATTATTCAAACTGAGTCAACAAGGGAGCCACAGAAGACAGATTGACCACCTAACAGCCGTATCGTTCAACTGTTTCCAACCAACCCATCAATTAGTGCTCAACATGGCTAAGCCAGCCAGTTATAAATTTACAGTTGCCAGTGTTTACAGGAATGCAAAATAGATCCCGTCCCCTCTTCCCCTTTGCCTTTTGCTCTTTTCGTCCCCATTCTCCTTCTTCTTTTACAGGTGTACGCCGGCCCACCTATCTATTGTAACAATACGTCATTTCATTTTTAATACCTTGTAAGACATGAGTACTTGAACAGTCTAAGGACATTGAAGAAAAAACCAAGAGAAGCTAGCACCCACTGTGCATCATCTTCAGAGAAGCGAAGTGGAATCACAATCAAAATCAGGATCAAACCAAGCCAGTCAAACAGATTGTAATAAAACTGAACTCCTTTAAGGTAGCTCAAGCGTTCCCTGCAACACAAACCAAATTCTAATTACAACGCTTGGTGGTGTCATTAGCCTGAGGAAGATTAGGTTACCACAAGGCCGTCCATCTAAGGTTGCCATGACAATGCAATATATAATTTTTGGGAATCGCTGCGAGACGACCGGCGCAGATATGGAGTACGCTGCACCTTTCTCGATTACTTTTGAAGTTTTCGAAGGGAAATAAACACCATGAGAGTCCAGGGAGTCGTTTAATATTTGAATGCCGCTGCTTGACCAGGCTTTATAAAAAAATCGACTTTCCACCTATCGTAATAAAATGCTGGTTCCACAGTATTCCCTCTTTCATTTCGTTTATTTCATGGGGTGTTTTCACACCAAATACAGGAATAAGTGGACCTCCTTGTGCATCAGTTATGATATGTGTTGTGACTTCTCGGGTTAATGACTTCAAACCTGGGCTGTTTTTTTGTTTCTTTGTTTTGCTTGTATCAATATTGCATGCGCCTTGGCTGTATTAAGCGTACGCTTTCATTAGCGTTGTTGTTGTTGTTTTTTTCTTTTGGGGGGGGGGGGCTAACTTTGTTTTACTATAATATGTCCCTTCATTGTATTACGGTAACTTTTTTTTTCTAACATTAACAGTAATGAAAAAATATGAAAAAAAAACAATGTAATATATGGGTCCTCTATGTGAAAGCAATGCAATGCAATGCAATTCAGCAATAATTTAAAAACTTGGTCATTTCTCAGCTATTTCATGTTGTGGAATTGTTCATACCTCTTTAAAACAATGAGATTCCATGTTTGACCATGTTTGTAACTATATGAATAATAGATACATTATACAAAACTTTCCTGAATCTAGCACCAAAGCATTTTGGGTTGGTACAGCCGGTGCTCAACAAATTGGAATTTGAACTCATTTTCAATTTGACCTACCATAGCAACTAGAGAAACCAATCCCCTTTAAAAAAACGATCTACTTTTTAAAGTCTTAGCAAATAGTTCATTATGACTTCATTTAAATAGCCGATCTTTAACTATACCATTATTACTCATTCAGAATATTTCCCCAATTCTGATTGGCTAAAAGCACACGCATAATTCACAATAACCAGCTACTGATGATCAAATTTGGAAGAATTTTGCGTTTTATGAACCGATGACGCCAAAAGTGCAGCCTTCTTGCAGGTTAATGCACCCTTAACCGAGAAGACCTAGGGACGAGATTGAGTTGGTTTGGTTGTGAAAACAAAAATGGCGGACATTTCACTCGTTCCAAGAGTAAGAACTAGGCGAAATAATAGCTAAAAACATGGCAAGAACAGCAAGACGACAACTCGAAGGGCGACATCTGCTATTTGGAGAATATTTGCGGAGCTGAGCAACCCTAAACGTGCAGTATCGAAGGTGAACTTAGGGAGCGCGTCCAAATATCGGTAGGGAACCCGATTATGGGAAACGGACCCGACTAATTTTCCGATAGTTCGGAATCGGTATCGATCTGTAGGCACCAGTTGCCGTTTCCGATTATGATAAAAACTTTGCCTATTCCATCGGAGCCAATTGACATTCTGATGTTGATATGTGTCATCGTCATATTATATTATGTTACCTGATATAAAATGAAGCGTGTCACGAAACCAAATGATGAAAGAGTCGTTTCAAAAGTAATTTCTATCGACTGTACCTATAACAAATAACAATATTGTATGTTCCTGTATGTTGTGTTTCAAGTTTGTTGATTTGATGCGTGCATACACGTGCTTTTCGACGTTTTGCAGAGGCATTTCCTTCAGTCGGTCGCAAACACCACGCTACTCCATAAAATTTATTCTATGAAAATTAAAGGGAGTTACCGAACAAAGGAGTTACATGAGTAAGTATTATGACGCAAAACACCACTGTTCTTCGTTGATACATAGCAAACAAAACACCATACTGAGTAGTGTGTTCTTTACTCGATAAAAACAATCAATCCAAAGACATAACCAGATTTCACTTTCTCGAAGCACAACTGGATGCATAGACTTGCTACAAGTAGACCTCACGGGTTTCCTAGCGAGAGCAAAACCATGGATAATATAAAACCACGGGATAAACTTTTACGAAAATGTGCGTCTTTCATTCAACGATCGTTAGCGAAAGGTGCAATGCGATCTGAGGCAAAAAAAATAATACCAACCAATTAGATTGCGGCCTTAGATTGTCTCCAGGGAATTAGCAAAAGAACTGAAACATTTCCACACTCGTGAGTCACGGCAGACACGGAACAAAGTTTACAGGAGCTGCCAAAGAGAGAATGGCGACTTAGCTGTTCTGTGAGCTTGAGCAGGGTGCCACGTGAAATTGCTTTCCACTCTCAGCACTTGGGAAGATTTGCCCTTGACTCAAGGTGCTGACTTCTTGACAAAAACCAGAACCTTTTTTACCGGAGTGTTCAACTAACGCAAACTGTGCATACATCCGGTAAGTTTGACGAAATTTAATAGCGGAAAGAGAATCGATAAAGGGAAAACCAGTTGAAGCTTCCTTCAGTCACTAATTTTTGAGTTCATGCACGATGTCCTCTTCTCTCCTGTGGCAATTTAAAAAGTTAAAGTACACAACATGGTAACAACATTTGCATTTTGGTCGTGGATGTTCTGACTTCTTTTTATTTTTTTCGCTTAAAGTCCTAAACTGTTTATTCCTCCAAAGATTCTTATAGTCATGCGTTTTGGGTCCCGGTTAGCACAGGCCCAAGCTATTTTAACATTTTGAGATCGATAATTGGACGCGTTCCCTTAACATCGATCTGATTGATGGAGGTTAGCATGTTTTAGCCATGTTTTTAAGCTAGGAATTACTTTGAATGAATAATAAAACAATTATTGAATTCGGCTTTCGTATTATCTCGGGGGGTGTTATCCGCCATGGCTTACGGCCTCGACGGAGAACACAGTCCTCCTCGATCTCCATAATTCTTCATAAGATACTCAGCCTCATTCTTTAATTGTTACATAGGATGATAAATTATATATGGTTATGAAGTGGACTCCTATTACTAACACAGAATATGACAACAACTAGGAGAGAATAGAATTCCAAGGCCTGACAGAACTTAAGGCTTTTACCACTTATACACCATTTCAACAAAAAGTTACTAGCCACGAAAGAAGTCTGTCCACAGAAACTATAGCCCAACATCCTTCCATAATCATACAATATACAAAATAACTTATTTGAAAGGAAAATTCCGTGTAAAAAGGAGAAGTTTAATTCACGGATCGAGTTTCCATGGACCTAAAAGAAATTTTCTAGGAACTGAATCCAAAAGAAATACTTGTATTGGGATTCACAAATACTGTACACTGTTGTATGAAGAGGTAAAGTAACTAAAGTAGTCGTTGTATCGGTTGTTACTTCTCATGCTGTTTATAGAGCGTCTGGTAAGAGTCCACTAGTCGTGACGGTAGGTAGTGGGTTGGATCATCTCTAGTTGAACCATAGAACAAGGCAAATGACAACAGCAACAAAAATGTCACATATAGACCTGTGCAAACACTAAAAACACAAAACAAAAACTCTTCATTATTCATGTATTGCATCTGTTGAAGTGTTTAGTCCAGAATAATAGTTACAAAATTTTTTTATTACCCTAGCTACTGCCTCCTCAACTTAATTATCATAGTAAAAATATTATAGTTTCTGGTGAAGAAAAATACAGGAAAATGGAAAAGGGGCATGGGCGCGTGTCCGGAGTTGAAGAAGGTTAAGTTTGGGCAACTTGTCATTAGTAAAGTTGACACACATTGGCCAGATGTTTCCTCAAATGTCTGATGACAATTTAAGCTCCTGCTAAAGTATCGGAGAACTGAATATCTCATGAAAGGAGCCACAGTGTAACTATTTTTAAAAATTCCTGAAACTCATGACAAGCAACTTTCAAGCCATAAAAGAAAACAGTCTTGATTTGTTAAAGATAAAACATACAACAACACAACGTTATCAGTTAGGGCTGTAGTTGTTCTGTCCTGAAAATTCAAATTGGTGGATTATTCTACAGCTGTACCTCAGAGCAATTAAAAAAAATTGCTTCGGAAATTACAAAACAATAATTGTACAGTTATTGTATAACTGAATTCTAAATGAATTTCTAGTTACGGATTTCTGTTTCCCAATAATTCTCTGAAATTGATTTGGCATACTTATTATATCAATAAAAGCTGCTACTAGAAATTTCAGTCAAAAATATATGCAAAGTAAAATTTGTAACTTTTCTTGGCTACTGTTTGCAACTCTTACAATTGGTCAAAATCTATTAACACGAAACACCATTTCAAAATGGAATCTAAATACATTTACCACGTAAACGGCCTTTCTGTAGGTTTAATAATAAAAATAATAATGGTTTATTGCAGAGTATCTAACAAAGTGAGGTTCTTCATCTACAATATCTACAACATAAATCTACACTATAAATCGAAAAAAATAATAATAATAAAATACACAAATATGTATATATATAAAAATAAGAAGAAGAAAATAGAGTGTATATATGTTT